CCCCACGATTCGTTTGGCCTTTCCAGTCCGGCCGGAAAATCAAATAAAGCAAAACGCGAGATCGCGAATGGCGTCGTTGCCGTAAAATGTGCACAGCTCGCTGTTTCCAGTTTTACAACGCAAGTTCGTATGAGAAAAATAAACGGTGTAAATGAAAAAGGCTAAATATGACCGGGAGCGTGGATGCGGGGTGGTTACCAACCCTCGATGAGCGTACAAACAGAGTTGAATAAATTCAATCAAACCTTGCAATAAATCATCGGAACATGTACTAGTTTGTTTATATTCTCGTGTACCAATTAATCGGTTCGAACTGCCTTGTTTTTTTAAATATAAATTCTCTGCCGAATACCAAGATCATCCTATGTCGAGCAATGAGCGTTGCTCATAGAAAAAAATAATAATGAGGGGTCGATAAAAAAGAAATCTATCTCCGACTATTTTTTTACCACCTTCATTTTTACATATATATTTTATATATAAGGAATTGTCGTACACACGATATGCCAAATGTATAGCGGGTGTCTGTCGCGTTAGGTAAAAGCTGTAAAGGCGCGAGTATCTCCGAGGAAAAATCTAATAGAGACGAAATCGAGTTTCACCCCTCTAAGAAACTAACGCTCGGCACTCTATCGACGGCTTCCCTATCCGGCTTCGAATAAAATCCAGTTCGTATTTGAATCAGCCTGTAACGCAATCCATTAGAGCCTAACAGCCAATACTCGAAGCCGATGGAAGAAATGACGAAGATACAGCAAAGGCACGAGTAACGGAGTGTCGTGGCTGATTAGTGTATCCGACACCCTGATACCAATAATATAAGGGTAAGTCTATGATATCTTTATCCCACTCGGATTCCATTCCCGTTCAACGCCCCAAGAGCCGATCGGAGAATCTCTTTCATCTCTCCCCTAGCCTCCTAGTCCCACTGCATTGCCACGTAAATGCAACTAGAAATGGCAAATCACTTCTGACAGCCAACTAAGACACTAGTCGTACATCCATCTTGGAATTTGATAACTATCTTTCTAATAGTACATTTTGCTACACTTTCCTACGGTATACTATATATATATATATATATATATATATCTATATACGTATCAGCGAAATTGCCATAAAATTCTCAAAGTTAATTCGCCACGGATAAAGGGTATATAATCTAAACTCCCTCTCTGCTATCTTCATCCCCGTGAAACACCTGTTTTTCCATGTGAAAATGTATCCACTTGATGGAGCCGCTATCTATACGACTGGAAAGTGGTACAGCGCCCGGAGCACGCGCTCTCGGATATATATAAGATGGTATAGGAGAAGTAAGACGTCGTGTTTAGAGGAAGATTTTAAGCGTTGATAGGTCGGCTACAATGCTTTGAATACCCATCCAGCATCTCGATAGGATCTTAATGTTCTCTAAGAGTGAAGAAAATTAAATTCGCAGATACTGCAAAAGGTACTGGATATATACAAAGGAGTGGAAATGCATTGGGGGTAGTAGTACGTATAGCCTATACATCTAATGCTGGGATGCTGTATCAGCGTCAGGCTTAGTAAAGATCAATAACCTTCTTTCAGAGAATAATCTTTATTCCGCTTGGAGACGTAACGTAGTTACTTTATCGTACACATATATATATATATATATTCACCATAGGAATAGGTGAAATGGGAAATGGTTGCCAACCCGAAGGAATTCTATATGGTCAGTCGCCCATATCAGGTACCCAACAGCATCCAGTTGGGATTCGTATGGTTGGCCAGCCTGTATCTTGAGATTTACTGCTGGAGGATTCGTCTGGAGAAATTGATTTCAATATACTGAATCCTAGATGAATACCGAGGATAGGAAAATTATAAGAGATGGAAAAGAACGGGAGATAGCAGCGAAGCAAGATAAGGGATGATGGAGAAGAACGATACAGGCTAACGAGTAAAACGTAGGGAAAGAAATAAGGGATGCGATTCGAAGGTATGTTTGATTTTTCCATGAAGTCCCGAAGCGTGGCGCAACGTACTCCTGTGGGGGATGACAATGGCGTCCCATGGGAAGGTAGGCCTACGAGCCACCCGAAAAATCTCTCCCCCCCGCCCCTGCATATCCCCTCTTCACTCATCTATCCTATACCCCTCTTTCTCTCTCTCTCGCTCTTTCTCTTTGTTGCTTCCTTTTTTGAATCTCCTGATTGTTTCCCGCGCGCATCTCCTCCACTTCCCAATCCTCCTGCGAATCCCACATATCCCTCCGACCCAGCATCCATACCTACCACCCTTACTACGAGTGAGTGAGTAGGTGAGTCTCCGACCCCACAGCATCCGCCCTGTTCTCCGAAAAATTTTCCGAATTCAATATTCCCCGATATTCTACATAATTCATGAAAATTGAGCCGCCGGCTTTTTCGTTGCTTCGCCGAGTGGCTCGTCTACACCTATAACGTCTCTGCACTATCGTTTTCCTTTCTCTCTCTCGTTCTCTTCTCTTCGCCTCGCTTCACTTTACGTCGCCGCCCTCTTCTGACGTCACGTCTTATACAGCTGTATACCTATGTATATAGGTGTCTCTCATATCCCAGTCTATCCTTAATTGTAGATCCTATTCCTCCTGGAAGTCAGGAAGGACCAAGCAAGCTCAGATAGCATCGCTGACAGCTCAGGATGATGTCGTCACTGTCGGATTCACTCGGCGAGACCCCTGATTTCACTAAAAGTTCATCCCGACTGAATTGGCAAGTTTTAACGATTGCAAAACTCTTGGATTTATCCTGGCAAGGATTCTAAATTTAAGGTCAGAAGGAAATGGAAGGATCGAATCGATTCACTTTTTCTGACATTTCCGAGGCGACAGGCGGATATGGCTGTTTCGCCTATCTATATGTTATATGTATGGAGGCGCAACCTCCTTCGGTCCTAAAGGTCGGAGAACACGTGGCCGGGTTTAATCTAGAGAAATGCTGAATAATACAGCCGAGTGAGCAGCGCCGCGATTGGCTTATGCAGTATTCAAGCTCGCTTCCCGAGGAACTTCGCCTTCTAATTAAATTTCCTCCGAAGAGTGTTAAGCACCTTGTCAACCATTGACCCGCAACTACCGCTATTCTATTCTCTCCTCTTTCTGCTTTCAGGTACTACCTCAAGTTCTTCCTCAAGTGTAACCAAAACTGCCTGAAGAATGCCGGGAATCCGCGGGACATGAGACGCTTTCAGGTGAGTCACGTACATCTTTTTTTTTCCTAAGGCTACAAATATCGTCAAATTTTTTTTTAATTCTCCCCCAATCGCAATAACGCCAACCACGACCGTCACGATTATTTCAAAGCAGACGGATATTTCTGGTCATTTTTTTCCCTAAAAAAAAAAAGCAAAGAGATCAGCATCCCTCACCGCCGCGATGAGAAAGACATTTTTTTTTTCAACGACGAAGCATCACGGAAAGTTGAGAGCCCTATCCTGGCGACTTGTAATCCGCGGAGAAGGTGGGGAGCAAATACCGGTAGTGGGAGGGGAAGGAGGGGGGAGGCTAGCAATTAGCCCAGCACGGCATCAGCCACCCCCAGTTACACCCCTTATCCTCTATAACAACTCAACCCACGACGAGGGTGCTGGTATCTCGCGGCACCCTGTAGGTACAGCCCCCTCCGCCCTCCCAGCCACATTTTGAAACAAAAGACAAAATTAAAAAATAAATTACCAAAAAAGCAAGCCGGTGGAGCATGGCGGCCACTTTGGTTACCCTGTTATACCCCATACTTATTTCGCATTGGAGAGTCGCGGCAGCAGTGGCAGCACTTCCTGCCTACGTACAGCCGGGCGCGAGAAGCCGCAAGGAAAATTAAAATATTTATTGCACTTGTGAATTTGTTTATGAATTGCTTATTGCCGAAAGTTGCGAATTAAAATTTCACCGTTCGTCCTTCCGCGAAAATTTTCCTCATCTTCTTTCTCCCATCCCCGCGAAAATATCCCAGCAGAGTCCCAACGCATTATCCAACCTGACCCGGCTTCTGGCTCACGCCTCTTTGACGGCGTCAGGGACAAAACTTTTGACATTTACTCCCAAATCCCGTTTCTTTTTAAAGTCGTTCATTCGCAACTTCCATACCAGACTTCATTGCCTGGTACAAACTATACCTATATAGGCATAGCTATTCGAAGATCGACAGCTGGCATTAATGTCCCCTTAACAATTATTACTTTCAGGTTATCATCTCTACCCAGGTGGAAGTGGAAGGTCCACTCCTCGCTGTATCCGACAACATGTTCGTACACAACAACAGCAAACACGGTCGCAGAGCGAAGAGACTCGATCCCAACGATCCTGGCGAGTACAGCAGTAAGTATATGTATTGGTCGAAGTAAAGAAGTACGATATCCTTGATAATCCAAAAATCCACCCTTAAGAAAAAAAAAAAAGTCATTAGATAAAAGTGACGCGAACTACCCGCTTAAACTTGTTCCAGCAACAATGAGCGCTAAGAGTGCACAGGAAAAAAAAAAAAAAGAAAAAAAAAGATGCCGCACAAAGTACTCATTCGTTTATGTGATTACAAAATGAATTCGGTGTGTTCGCAGAATTGATGTACTGCACAGCCGACGGAGTGATGCGTTACAGAGGTGATTATCAAACATGAGTTCTAATTATAAAAAGGCAATCGAGTTTAAGCGGGTTCCTCGTCCATCTCAATGTATTAAAAACCCGTACCCACAGATCCACCCAACATCAGCACCCAACCATTATAGTACAATCACTGAGAATTTTTGCCGAAGACGTGCAGAGCTATGCCTTAACCAGACGATTTCAAAGGACACGAAAAGCACGTAGAGGCTCGCGTTATCCCGGTAGGGTTTCGAGAGGGAAGGTGGGGCGGAAACGGGTGGGTAAGGACGAGGTAAAACGTAGAAAGGTCGTAGAGAAGCCGAAGGCGGATATAAGGAGTCATAGGCCAATTCAGCAAAGTTTGGCTTTCGGCCGCGCATACAAACGGCTGATATCGCGCGTACAACCCCTCGGCACTCGTAGCTCCGCAAGACAAGATGTAAATCAATGGGAGAGAGAAAACGAAAGAACCGGCACCATTCTCTCGCACAGCGATGCTTTGCCGCTTTTCTTTTCCCCCTTATACTATGTAAGGGTAGGGTAGGTACCTATACCTACCAACTACCAATCTATATATATATATATATATATATATATATATATATATATATATATATATCTAGTCTCCTTCGTTCCCCTCGCACCTCCCCTAACCCAGGCCACTGAATGCCTCCAACCTACCCTATATACCCGCGACACGCCATCCTCCCTCTCCCTTTTGTCTGGTTGGCTGCCGTCGAGAGCAAAGACACAGCGCGGAATTGGCCTCTGTTCGTGCCTCCCGAGCGCGTTGGTTTGTGAATGCTAAGTTTAAGCTATCTCGAACCGCCAGTACTACCACGGCTACTAGAGTTCCTCCGTGGTCGAACACAAACGTCGAGGGTGTATACGGTACTGTGCTCGTTCCCGGGCACCACTGTGTGTACCACCCTGAAAATGCCGGAACAAGCATACCAATGAGGGGGACCTCTGTGTGTCTCGTGGCTTTTCCTACTATTACAATCTTTTCGAAAGGGAGGCGATCCTTTCCGGATGTCGCCGTCCTGAGCTGTGACGATTAAAGCATCCAGGATTGGTTTTTGGGGGTTGGAAAAACTCCCAGGTGAATTTTGAGATAGTTCGATGGTTGGCACCGGTGGGTCTGTTCTTTAAGAAAAATCGTGGAAAGGGTTTGTGGTAGTGATTGAGGGGTGGAAATTTCTGAAAAAATGTTAGGGGTAGATATGCTCATTTTATTCATGGGCAAATTATAATTCCATTGAAAATTTTCTTTTTTTAGGTATAATCCAAGTTGCAAGGTTTATGGTATTAGGGGTGTGTGTGATTAGATTTAGATTACGGGATGACCAGGGATTCGTGAGGTATGCGGTACTACGTACAATGTGGAGGTCGAGTGTGGTAAAGGGGTTGGAAAGGAGATAGAAAGCCGAAGCACGGGTTTGCGCGTGGGTTTTTATTTATTCCGGGTTGGTACGCTTGTTCCGGCCTTCTCCACCGAATCCCTCTTTTCAACCAGCTCACCCTCTCGACAATTTCCTTCGCGGGGGTGGTTGCCAACGCGGCCGGATGCCTCCTCCGCGACTTTCTTCCCCGGCCAGGGAAAACGGGCTAAGCGCAATAAATACGTCCTGCTTCTGTATCTGATGTAACGTAAGCATAAACCATGGGTTAGGGGTTTTGTTCTTATCGTGGCATTCGTGTATTTATTTCGTATCCCAGCTTCGCTGAACTTCTGTGACGAATTTTGCCCCATTCGTCGGAGCAACGTATGCCATATATAGGGTGATTATAAAAAAAAAAATCAAATAATAAAGTAAAATTTGTACGATCACAAATATTTGGGAAAATAAATTTTCTGTGCATCATTAAAATTTGGACAAAAATTCGATCTTCTACTTCGCGGTTGAGATTACACCGTGTACCGTGAATATGAGATATACAGGCTGTCGCATAAAAGGTTTGTCAGCGTTTGTTAAACCGCACAAGATTTATTCGAGTGCACGGAGGGAGAAAAGCGTTTGAGGATCACTGAGGGCAATATACCATGATGTCAGCCACTCTGCCGTGGCTCCAGTGCTACCAGGGATGGGGAACCGGGGGTGGCTTGGGCTTCGCTGGGGTACAAAATGATATCATTGGGTTATAAATTCCAAGCAGAGACACTGCCGGCCTGATCGCTCCCCTCCTTCTTGTTACAACCCTTCTCCGGCTTTCTCTCCCTCTCTCTGTCTCCCTTGCTCTCCGTTTGTTCGTCCTCGCTCCTACCCGCTATTTTCCCTCTCGAGCCTCCCCCACCCTTATTCCGAACTCACCCCACGAACTCTCCCTGCCAAGCCAGAAAATATATCTGCCACTCGGCCTCAACCGAATAAACAGAATATTCAGATAATTTTCCATCTCCATCCCCTCGACCGTTATGCAGTGCGATTTCGTTTCCTTCTTTTAGCTCTTTTTTTTTTATACAAAAATTCCCGAGCATCCAGCAACCCCTTCATTCTGTTCTTGGGGTTAGTGAATGATTTTTTTTGAGAAATAAGGGTATGCACAAAAAATTTCTATGATTGCCATAGAATGGGGTATAATTATATTATTTCTCGTACACTGCTCGAGTGTCTTGAGTGGAATTTTTATAATTCCTTAATTTACAATGTTTATATATTTTCAGCTCTTTATCCGCCGGCACCGATCGCCACACCCTGCATAAAAGCGGTATCGCCAAGTGAAGGCTGGACGTCGGGTGGATCTACGGTGATTATCGTTGGCGACAATTTTTTCGACGGGCTGCAGGTCGTCTTTGGTACGATGCTTGTATGGAGCGAGGTAAATAAAAGAATGACCCGAGAGATAACAAAGTTGCCGGCATTTCAATGTAATTATGCATAATCATCGTTGCATTCGTTACAGTTAATCACTGCACACGCAATCAGGGTGCAAACACCACCGCGACAGATACCAGGCGTAGTGGAAGTCACGCTATCGTACAAGAGCAAGCAGTTTTGCAAAGGTGCGCCGGGACGCTTCGTCTACGTCTGTGAGTCCAAAATTAAACTTGCAGCCTTAAACCGAAAAAAAAGTCCCAAAAACTCTACTCACGGCTTTCCAATATTTCAGCATTAACCGAGCCATCGATCGACTACGGTTTCCAAAGGTTACAAAAATTGGTCCCACGGCATCCAAGCGACCCCGAAAAATTGGCCAAGGACACAATCCTGAAAAGAGCAGCGGACCTGGTGGAAGCATTTTACACGATGTCCAGAAACGGAAACACGGGAATACCAGGAGCACCGAGAAGTCCAGGCTCGGGTCATCCGCCAGCCCCGCCAACGTCCGGTTCGGCCACAGCCTTCAACTCGTATACAGGTCAACTAGCGGTAACCGTCCAGGAAAACGGTAGCGCGAAATGGACGGACGGTAAGTAGCGAAAAAGTCCTCGATCGTAAAATTAAAAAAAAAGAAACCAAGAGGCAGTCTTGACAACAGAGTGATCGGATACTGACGCGCTCATCTGACGTACAGATTTCTATTTGTAGACGGGGGTTCAGTGACGACAGGAGCCGGTGGCGGAGCCGGGGCCGGTAGCGTAGGGGGTAGCGCCGACGCCTACAGGCAAAGTAGCAGCGCAAGCCCCAGAGGGGTTGTAACCGGCGGTGGCTACTGCGGCAGCTCAGCAAGTACACCCCATAGTCATAGCACCAGCGGTAGCTACTCCGTAGCCAATCCGTACACGGGCAGCCCGACGCTCTACACCTCCCGTAAGTCCCAAAAATAAATACTACGTCGTTAGCATGAAAATCAAAATACATATATATATATATATATATATATATATTCAAATTTTCAAAAATCATACCACACGAAAAATAAAAAAAAAAAAATAAGAATCCAATACGATATCAATATAAATCACATGAAACGCACGCATGCGCTTATTCGGCCCTGTAATTCATTGCACGCACTTATAATTTCGTCTCTCTAGTCTTCCTCAACGATTTTACGTTTTAGCGCACGAACAATACAGCCACACGAAAAATAAAAAAAAAAAATAAGAATCCAATACGATATCAATATAAATCACATGAAACGCACGCATGCGCTTATTCGGCCCTGTAATTCATTGCACGCACTTATAATTTCGTCTCTCTAGTCTTCCTCAACGATTTTACGTTTTAGCGCACGAACAATACAGCATTCTGTATACGTCCGGGGACGCGAGCGCATTCCGACCACCGATCACCTCAGTCCCACCGCACTGGTCCACCCAGCACCACCTCGCAACAGCTGCTCAGTAACCACTAACCCGCCGTCCGCCCTAAGCAATACGCGCGAAAACTCTTCCCGCCGAGAATGGCGGCGACTGTACGTATTTTTATTATCCCTTATCCCTTAGCAGATGAATTTTCCTAGACTTCCTTTACCAAGCTCACGTATGGCTTAACGTACACGTGTACTCGTATACCTATATGCGCGTACGGCACTGCCTGTAACCCTTTGCACTGTGTACCCTGTATATCTATATGTCTTACGACCCTTGCATGCTCTTACGTTTCGTTGCCGGCTTATCCGAATGGACCTCCCACTTGTTCTCTTAACATCACCTAGACGCTACTCTATACTTACACTTGTACTAGGGCTGTCATACAGATTATATCTATGTATACCTTTGTTGCTGTTTTCCATCGCCATGCTTAGTACGTAGATATTGAATTCGTATGTGACGATGGCTAACTAACGTATAACCGACAGTGGCCATGTTACAGGGTTAGGGGATGTGGTTGGGTCACCGTTCAACATGAATCCATTCATGCTGCCGACCTGCAGTCAAGGTTACTCCGCTACTGCCAGTCCGCTACTTTCGTCTACTGGCAAATAGTCCTACGAGATGTAGACAATGGATTATGGATTCTTCGGTTGATCTGCAAGAATTCTACCGGACTGTTGTTGCTGTTTGCGGGCATTTTTTTCGACTTCGGGATTTGGGGATGAAAAGTCCTCTTGGAATTGATCGAACGTCGGGGGATCGTTTGTGGGAGATTGTTTTTGTTTTCACTCTTTTTTATATATATAGTATATATATACATATATATATATATATATATTTGAGACATGGACGCTCCACGTTGCTGAGTGACGTAGTGAAATTTGTGAAGGTTTTAAGGTATTATGTAAGTTTTTGAAACCAGTGCAAATCTAGTAGGGATACTATAGAGACGGTCGAATTATGTAAGTAAGGAATTCTACATATCGCAAGGATTTTCATGGAACTTTAACTAAGGGGTTGGGGGTTATATATCCGATTGGGATGAATTTGTATTTATTGGTACAGTCGTGGTATAGGCTGTGGTATTCATTGTGAGGAGAAAGTACGTGTGAGGGATGGAGTGAACTATTTTTTTTTTTTTTTTTTTTTCTTTTCTTTTTTT